CCTCATTTTTATGAAATAACTTGTTCTGTGGTTTTCTCAGCCTGCTTTGTCATCAAGTGTCATAGCAGAGGATGTTTCTTGATAAAAATACCACAAGATGCAGTCAAGACTACTGGTGCTCAGTGTGGAAATAGAAAACAAACAAAAAAAAAAAGGATAATGGAAGTTTCGGTCTCAGATAAAGTTCAGGTTAAAGTCTGGTTTTCAGCATTTTATCTTCATAAAACATTCATTTTAGATTTTTTTTCTATTAATCCCAGGTATTTAGTCAAATGCTCTATACTCCTGGACACCCCTAGAACTGCTTCAGCCCACAACTGCTCTTTAACATGAACAGGTGTTTCTCATCGCTGTCAGCAATAAAATCTTGCCAAGGGCAGCATGTTGGCTAGAGCCGGTCCTGGCCACAGCCACCTCTCAACTGCAAAATCAAACGGTTTTGCTTCAAAATATGAATATTTCCCAGATGAAAACATTAAAAAAGGAACTAAAAAATGTTGTTTTTAATTTGTGAACTGTACACCACCTCTTGCATACTGACCACTAACGATAGACACCAGCTTCCCTGCGACCCAAATAGGAAGAAATGAGCAAAGAAGATGGATGAATATGATAAATGTAAGACTGAGCAGTTGCACTTTTCATGTCTGTGGTCATCATTTGACTAAGTTAACAGGGACTCCTCTGAACATGTGCTGTGTAAGCATTTCCTAGTTTTCTTATCGTTTTGTTGAGGGAATAGTTTGAATACTACAACACCATTTTTCCTTTGGTGAGCTGACACTTTTACAGTTATCTGTACACCAAACAGTCAAAGTACATTTCACAAAGTTATGGAGCCAAAAGGAGAGAATGGAGGGTAAACTTCAGGATAAGTTTTTAACTCTGAAAGCATTGAATCTGTGATTCATATTTCTAGTTTGAATACATTAATACCAGGTAACAGACCATATGTTTTATTTTACTAAGGTAAAATAAAACAACCTTTAACAAACTGTGTCATATTTTTAACCCTCATACTAAATTAAATGTTTCATCAGTACTACAATTTCCTTAATAAATGATGCGTTAATTGACCAATATGTAATTTTTGTCAGCCTTTAAATGAACATTAAAGCTAATGGATTTGTGACACAAAGGACCTGAATAAAGACAAAAATCTTAAACTTCCATCCTTTATTTGAAACTTGTATTAACACAGTGGACATTTAGCATTGATAGTCATGTGTCTAACTTTTTGTGTTTGGCAAATCAATCAGTTTTTAATTTCTAATAGTTCAAGAATGAAAGCTTAGTCTTTAACTGAGAATGACGGGATTAGGATTTGGATTTACAATCTACACTTCAGCAGTTATTTGTCCTAAAACCTTCAAAAAGTTTATTAAAGATTATCCGAAATGAAAAAAAAAATTCTCTACCAGAAAAGAGAAGGGCCATAAAGTGATTGACAGGTTAACATCATAAATACAGTGCCTTGCGAAAGTATTCGTCCCTCTTGAACTTTTCAACATTTTTGCCACATATCAAGCTTGAAACATAAAGATATAAAATTTAAATCTTTTTTGTGAAGAATCAACAACAAGTGGGACACAATCATGAAGAGGAACGAAATGTATTGGATATTTTACACTTTTTTAACAAAAAATAAATAAAACAGAAAAACTGAGGGAAGTTATTCGGCCCCGTTGTGTTAATACTTTGTAGCGCCATCTTTTGCTGTGATTACAGCTGCATGTCGTGCGGGCTATGTCTCTATCAGTTTTGCACAAGGAGAGACTGAAAATTTTGCCCATTCTTCCTTGGAAACAGCTCGAGCTCAGTGAGGTTGGAGAGCATAATTGTGTACAGCAGTTTTCAGCTCTTTCCATAAATTCTTGATTGGATTCAGGTCTGGACTTTGACTTGGCTGTTCTAACACCTGGATACGTTTATCTGTGAACCATTCCATTGTAGATTTTGCTTTATGTTTTGGATAATTGTCTTGTTGGAAGCTAAATCTCCATCTCAGTCTCACGTCTTTTGCAGACTCCAGTAGGTTTTCTTCCAGAATGGTCCTGTATTTGACTCCATCCGTCTTCCCATCAGTTTTCTTCCCTGTCCCTGCTGAAGAAAAGCAGGCCCAAACCATGATGCTGCCACCACCATATTTGACAGTGGGGATGGTGTTTTCAGAGTGATGTGCAGTGTTCTTTCTCCGCCACACATAGCGATTTGCATTGTGGCCAAAAACTTTGATTTTGGTTTCCATAAAGGCCAGATTTGTGCAGTATACGTCTGATTGTTGTCCTATGGACAGACTCTCCCACCTCAGCTGTAGATCTCTGCAGTTCATCCAGAGTGATCATGGGCCTCTTGGCTGCATCCCTGATCAGTCTTCTCCTTGTTCCAGATGAAATGTTAGAGGGATGGCTGGGTCATGGTAGAACTGCAGTGGTCTGATACTCCTTCCATTTCAATATGATCACTTGCACAGATCTCCTTGAGATGTTTAAACTTTGGGAAATCTTTTTGTATCCAAATTCAGCTTTAAACTTCTCCATAACAGTATCTC